TCACTGGGAACATGGCAATAGAACTCTCTGAGTAGAAGCAAAGTCTAATTCGTAGGCTTGGTAGTTTATACTCACTAAAAAAGAGAGACTTATCTCTCCAGAGATAACCAGCACACGGTTTGCAGAAAAGAGGGGGGGATGCAGGAAGATGTGGATGAGCTACCTAGATATGGTCGATACTTGAGATACAATTATCTTCAGCTGTGAGCCTTTGATGCCAAAATAAGGAAACTACTTCTCAAAAAATGCAGGCATAGGCATAGGACAGGCATCCCCATTCTAGAAGACAGAAAGGAAGAAGGGAGGAGTGACGGATTCCGAGTAAGTTGAAAATCGAACAAGGCAAACTCCATGGGATCTTGAGGTTCTAATTTCTGTTTCCTTTAGTCTCAGGAGGTAGTGGTGGCGTACTCTCATCTGTGTAGCCTTCCACTGAGATAACTTGTTAGGCTCTCAGCTCATGCCATGGGAATCTTTTTTAAAGATTCACTTTCATTATTTTTAATTATGTATACTGTGTGCAGTTTATGACTGTATGTGGGTATATGCATACAAGTGAAGGTTTCCATGGAGTCCAGATGAGAATATTCTATTACCTGGAGCTGAAGTTCAGGCAATTTTGAGGGGCCCAATGTAGGAGTTGTGAACCCAACTCCACTCCTCCACAAAAGCAATGTCCAAGTTCTTAACCACTGAGTCATCTCCAGGCCCAACCTACTAATCTTCAATTTCTCTTCAAAACCTGGTTTCTTGTTCTTTGCAACATGAATACACTGAACCAAGCATTTCAAAGTTCTGGTTCGTTTTTGTCTAAAAAGTCCTTATTCAGACTTTCCAGACCTGAGTGACAGAAAACATAAATGGCTCCCTGTCCCCAGATTCCCAGTTGGGGGGGGGGTCAACTAGCCAGGAGCCTCTCAGCACTTTCCAGGCATGAGTGATGGGGAACACAGATGGTAGGAGCCTGCTGTCATTCCAAGCCCGTGGTTTCTAGTCCCAGGCACACCAGAGATGCAAAGCAACATCTCCGGGCTATGCCTTGCAGCTGGGTGAGTGGGACTCAACAAGTGCCACCTGTGACTCAACCAGGAGTCCACCAGGTATCAGGGGACCATTATGGTGAGCAAGCACAGGGTGGAGAAATGTGTGTGTATGGGGGTGGGGCAGAAAAGTTCATGAACTCAGAAGAGAAGAGGATCTGAAGAGGTGAGGGTGGTGAGGAACAGGTTGACATAAATGGCCTGCTTGCCACCTGAGTCCAATGTGATGAGGTGATATCCAGGGCCTGGGATACTGCCATAGAGGCCTATAACGGTCTGTGCTGTCACCTGGGTCCATGATGGTATCCAAAAGGCACACTGCAACAGGGGCCATGCAGATATGAGTAGCCTGCGCTCTCACCCAGGGCCATGCTGTCCTCTGGTCTAGGGCTGCAGCCGAGGGGCATGTCTGGGTCCAAGGTCCTAAGGCAGCCAGGATCTCAGGCGATGTCCGTGATCCCTGTGACACCTAGGGTCATGTGGATGACCACCTGAGACCATCTCAGTGTCCAAGGGCCATGCCACTGCCAAGGACATACTGATCTGAGTAGTCTGTGTGCTACCTGGGACCATAGAGATGTTCAGGCCTCAGCTGCTGGTCAGAGACATATCTGGGTCTATGGCCCAGCAGTAGCTGGAGTCTGTGATGACATGCATGACCTGTGTTAGCACAGCAGGCATTAGGAACCATGCCTATGGAAATCTGAGGGCTGAGCTGAGCGAGCCCTGCCCTTCACTATGCCTGGGATAGCTGGCTCTGCCCCTCGCTGAAAACGGCAACAGGAGAGCTGATTCCACGCCTCCAGGGATATTGACCCCCACACACAGAGGAAATAAGACCCCAAACCTTACCACAGGTGTGTAGCTCACCAGCGCAGCACACTAGAGTTGACCCTGTTATCTGGGATGCAGGTCAGTAGTCCCTGAGGGCATGAGAGCAGCAGAGCTGACCCTCCCCCTTGTCTGTCATGTAGTGGCATAGGTGAGGGAAAGATGCCCTTCCCCCCTCTGCCCCTTGCGACCTGCAGCAGACAAAAGAGCTGGCCCTGGGGTCACTAGAATAAGAGAACTAGCCATGCCCCTCACCAGCTGCAGCACACAGGACAGCAGGCCCTGAACCCTGCCTGGACAGCACGCTAGAGATGACCCTGTTGTCAGGGGTGCAGGTGAGCCAGCCCTGAAGGCATGAGAGCAGGAGAACTGACCCTGCCCCCATCCCTCATATGCTCCCTACAGCAATCAGGAAAGTGGGCCCTGCACTTTATCTAGGTAAAACAATAAAGCTAGCCCTGGTGGTGGGAGTTAAGGCAACCTGGATCTGAGGACCTGAGAGCAAAAGTGGTCCCACTCCTTGCTGCAGACTGCATTGGCTGAGCTAGTTGGGGCAGTGCTGAAATCTAGGTAGTGACGAAGAGGGAAAACCGGCAGCCTAACCAACCCAGCTAACACCTAAGCCCAGAACCAGGGCTATAAATTAGTCCATCCCAACATCCACCCCATTTATGAACTTTTGGGGCATGTGAAGGGAATGAACCTACAGGTCCAAACTGCAGGATCTTCATGGCACAGGACAACAGGATGTCTAAAAGGAGACCCAGTGAGGGCTTAGCAGAAGCCAGAGGTCTCGAGCCAGACCAATGACTGATTGCATGAACACTTGCAAGTAAAGATGAATGGACTAAAGGGTACACTGGGTGACTCAGCGGGCCACACTACAGCTTCCACAACTCTTCTTTTGTTTATTTGTTTTTTGTTTGGTTTGGCTTTTGGATTTTCTTTTAAAATTTAAACTTTGTTTTGTTTTAAGGGGAGGTTACGTGGGCAGAGGGCAGATGCAAGGGGACGGGTAGATAATCCGGAGCGGGGCAAATGATGTGAAATCCACAAAGAATCAATAACAGTTATAAACAAATATATAAGTTCTTCTTCAATTTGTTCTCTTCTTGAATTTTACTACTACTAGGCAGAAGAAAACAAGCTGCTTCTTACATAATCCAGTTAAAAATCTCCGCTGCTCAATCCCTATCAAAATTTCTACACAATTCTTTACAGACATTTAAAGTACAATACTAAACTTCATATTGGAAAGCAAAAGATCCAGGATATCTAAAACAATCCTGTACAATAAAAGAACTTCTGGAGGTATCGCCACCCCTGATTTCAAGCTGTACTGCAGAACTATCGTAATAAAAACTGCATGCATGGTACTGGAATAAAAACAGACCGGTGGACCAACGGGATTGAATCAAAGACTCAAGCATGAATCCACACAACGATGTACAGTTTTTAAATAATAAAAAAAAAACAGAAATTCATACTGGAAAAAGAAGCACCTTCAACAAATGATGCTGGTCAAACTGGATGTCTCCATGTAGAAGTAAACAAATAGATCCATATTTCTCATAACACTACATAATTGGTCAAGTTTAATCTAAGACAGTGGACGCTTTCTCAATCAGTCTCATTTATTGCTAAATCCTTACCAGATAGAAGTCATTCCACAGCACTCTCCACTTCCCCAGGTATGTTCCTCAAAACTGTTCCAGCCCACCAAGTGTTTGGTTCTGGTGGTGCCTTCAAAGTTGTACATACAGTTATATGCTACATAATACCACATTGCAATTATGTGACATAATGACATTTGACAGTTTTCAACAACACACTGCATATATGACAGTGGCCCAAAAGATAATAGTGTGGTGGGACAAGCCTTCAAGCCCAGCATTCAGGGACCTAAAAAGGAAAGATCACGGATATGCATCCATCCTAAGCAATACTGACATTTTGTCTGAAAAAAGTAAAAAAAAAAAAAACCAAAGGGGACAGAAGAGATTACAGAAGAGGTGGAGAGTAACTGGAGGAAGAGAGGAGAAGGGGAAGGGAGAGGAGGGGCAACATGAGAGTAGAAAAACTTCTGCCATTCCCATGACATTAGAGTCATAGTAACATCATAGCATCAGGCATCACTTATATATCTGTGATACTGTATGCTGTGGTATCAATAACAAAAATTAGCACATCCAAATATATACCTCATGCATGATAACAAAAATATGTTGCTGGGATATACATTTACTATACCATACCTTTATCGTTATTTTAGAGGATAAACCTTAGAAAACATTTACTGTTAAACAGTATACTCTGTCAAATACCTCATGCTTACTGCATTTCCTAATTGTATGAAGAAACGACATTGAGTGATCTATGCCATCTAGTTCTGTATTCTCTACGATGCTCACATAATGATAAACTCAGCTAACAATGCATTTGTCAGAATGTATTCCCACTGTTAAGTGGTATATTACTCTTACTAGTTATAGCAGCAGACACTTCCTATTGCTAAGTTCTGTATTAGTTAGAGAGGTAAAGCATGACAGTGAGAAAGAGAGAGCAAGAGAGAGCAAGAAAAGAGAGAAAGAGAGAGAGAGAGAGAGAGAGAGAGAGAGATGTATCCTAAGGTGTTGGATCTAATGATTATGAAGGTTAAAATGTTTCATGATCTGCTATATGGAAATTGTCAGGAATACCAGTAAGATAGTAAGTTATTGCTTGAAATAGCTTGAAAGTTATTGCTGTGGATTCTGATTTGGGTTTGATTCTGATTTCGGTTTGAAGGTTAAGAACCAGTAATACTGAGAGCAAAGGCTCATGTCGCAAGTCATGTGACCTAGTTGTCAATTCAACCTTTCTCTACCCCTTTGTTCTACTCAGACTCTCAATGTGTAGATGATACCCACCCACATGGATTCGTGCATTCAAGCATTCAAATTCTAAGTTCTTTTGGAAACACCCACAGAGATAAACTCCTAGCTTTCTGGGAAATCTGAGCATCTTCTGGCCCTATACAGTTGAACATTGCAGAATAATGACCGGCAGCCCAAACAACTACTCAATTGCTATTTAAAATGACCTTATATATACATTTATACATATATACATTTAGTACAAAAAATATACCTTTGTGAAACCTATTTGTTCCTTCCGAAAAGCTTCCAGGGGTTTGATCAGCAAGTCACTAGCATTTTGTACCTAAAGGAAAAAAAGAAGAAGAAAACAGCATCTAGATTAACAAGGTTCAAATGCAAACTTGTTATTCCTTACCATTAGTGTTTTTCTTTAAAATATATCATCCTGCTGGGTGGTGGTACACGTCTTCAATCTCAGTACTGGGGAGGCAGAGGCAGGAGGATTTCTGCAATTTGGAGGCCAATCTGGACTATAGAGTGAGTTTGAAGTCAATCTGATCTACACAGAGAAATCTTGCCTCAAAAAAACATACATACACACATATATACTTATATTCACACCTACATACACATTCTAAAAGATACTTTCTGAACAGGGCACTGTTTGTACAGGCACTAAGGTCAACAATTAATAAATGGTACCTCATGAAAATGATAAACAGAAGGTTGAAGACACTGTCATTCATAAAAGTATCAACCCTCAGAAATGGAATAGATTTTTACTGACTACACACTCCATAGAGGACAAATACCCAAAATATAAAAAGAACTAAAAAAATTAAATAAAAAAGAAACAAATAGCCCAAATAAAAATGGGCAACATGGATGTGGAGTAAGGGGAACACTCATCCATTGCTGCAGAGAATGCAAACTTGTACAGCACCTATGGCAATCAATGTGGCAGTTTCTCAGGACAATGGGAAATGATCTACCTCAAGACCCAGCTATACCACTCTTGGGCATACACCCATAAGATGCTTCATCCTACCTATCATAGAGACACTTGCCCGACCATGTTCATTGCTGCTTTATTCATAATAGCTAGAAACTGGTAACAACCTAGATGTACCTCAACAGAAGAATAGATTAAGAAGATGTGGTGTGTTTACATGAAGAAGTATTATCCAGCTGTTAAGAAAATGAAATCATGAAATTCTCAGGCAAATGGATGAAACTAGAAAAGAATCATCCTGACTAAGGCAAATATACTTATTCACTTAGATGTGGCTCTGAGCTATTAAGATGACTATGTATAGGTGGGGGAGCTGAAAAGGGAGGGTCAAGTGAAGAAGGGGAAGAAAGAGGGGGATGAGAAGGGGAATTATGGAGAAAGACAGCTAAAATTAAGGGACATTTGAGGGGTAGTATAGAAGCTTAATACAATAGAAACCCCTATGTAGAGGGCCGCAACCACACTCTCCACCATAGATGGCGCTGCACCGCCAGGTGAGCTAGAAAGCTCACATGTGTTGGTATTTTCCACTACTCCCAAGGTTTCACCTGGGACTGGGAGCAGTTGACCAATCCAGGAAAGACATGTCCAGAGCGGGGTCTGTTTCCTTTATAAGGGATGGGTTCCATCTTATCTGGGTCTCCGCCATGTGGCTTATGCTCTAGCTCCCAAGAGACATAAAGCTTTTCTGCAGAAGGATCCTATGTGTACCGCGTGGTTCTTGCTGGCGAGACGGTAGCGCGGGACACCCCTATATTTATATGAAGGAAAGCTAAATGAAATCACCGAATAATGGGGGAGGCGGAGCTCTAACAGAACATCTCATGTCACAAAATAAAGCCTTTAGTACCAGGAATGGGTTACATCTAATTGAGTTGTTGACCAAAGGGATACCCCAAATAAGCTAGGTTGTTGCAAAGACTATAGGTTGCTCTACACAAACTAATGGCAAGGCCCGATTGCTGAAGACACCTACACAACTCATGAAACATGGAGAAGTTCAGTTGGTGCCTACCTAGAACCTTCACCCCTACATGCTAGTGTCTTTGGTAGAGGAAGGTACTTTCCGTGCTACAAAGGAGAAACAAACACTGACCCAGCTACAAACCCTTTGATTTACAATCTGTCCTGCCTACAAGAAATGCTAGTCCGATGGTAGAACAATGCTCGGGGGAGTAAGTAATTGGTAACATATTTGATGTAAGGTCCAATTCATAAGATGGAAACCTTACCTAGCTCTGCCTGACCCACCAAGAACCTAAAACTAAATAGCCCAGAGAACTAGGGCAAAACCAAATACTACTGTTCTACTAAAAGAATGTACCCATAAAATGACTCTTAATGACATTCTGTTATACTCATACATCAGTGCCTTGCTCAGCCACTATCAGAGAAACTTCCTCCTGCAGCAGGTGAGAGCAAATACAGAGACCCACACCCAGACAATATGCAAAGAATGAGAGACCGTACAACACTCAGCCCAAAACACGATGCCTCCATCTAATCCCCCTCCCTTCAGGGTCAGAGAACACTGTTGAAGAGGAGGTGAAGAGAGTGTATAATCCAGGGATGGAGGACACCAAAGAAACACGGCCCTCTAAGTAAAAAGATTGAGACACATATGAACTCACAGAGACTCAGGTAGCTTGCACAGGGGCTACACAGGTGTAATTCAGAAGGTGTCCTGGACCTGAAAGAACTCTCTTTCTTTCTCTTCTGGGTTATCCCTAACCCAGAAGCAATAATCAATGGACAACTACTTGCAAAGGAAAATTTCCTTTTCTCCAAGGGAATCTCACTGGGGAAGCAAACTACTGGGGAAACAAGAAAACTCTTAAGGGCAGACTGCATGCCCAACAGTGGATGGCCAACAGAAAACTAACACAATAGCATCTTTATTAGGTGCTTTATTATTTACAAGGAGGTTCCTTACCTAATAATGTCATATCATGACTTCTTTAAATCTTATTTCTTTCTTTTAATTTTTATTTAATTTGTATATTTTTCTCTTTTTTGCCCTACAAGTCTTTTGCATATATATTATGGCTTCTAGCTTGTTTTTATGAGAATTCTGAGTGTACAAAGAAGTGGGTCTATTTCTTTTGCATTCTCATGGGATCTTTTTCTTCTATTTATTGGTTTTATCCTATTCCAACATGTGAGTTTTTGTTTTATATTATTATTTTTTATTTTGTATTGTCCCTTTGAAGCCTGTTCATTTTCTAATAAAAGATAAAAAGGTGATGGAACCGCATTGGGAGGGGAGGTAGGGAGGAACTTGGAGAAGTAGAGGGAGAGGAAACTACAATCAGGATATATTAGGTGAGAAAATATTTTCAATAATGGGGAAAATGAAATAGCTTTGTGTAAAATGAAAACTGTATCATCCTGAAGCATAGTAATTGGAGTAGAGGTATATCTCAGGAGTAGTGGACATGCTTATATCTACAGGGCCATGAGATCAATTTCTAGCATTGAAATAAATGTTAACTTGCTTACTTTTTATTGAATTTTGTTAGTTCCTTTATGAAAAACAAATAAATGCTTTGAGGAAAGGAACATAAAAGGAAGTTCTTTACTCTGGATGATTTTTTTTCTAGTTCCATCCATTTGTCTACATATTTCATGAGGTCATTTTAACAGTTGAGTTATATTCCATTGTGTAAATGTACCATATTTTCTATTTCCATTCTTTGGTTGGGGGACATCTAGGTTCCAATTTTGGGCTATTATGAATAAGAACATAGCTGGGCAAGTATCCTTGTGGTAGGATGGGACATCCCTTGGGAATAAGTGCAAGAGTGGTATAGCTGGGTCTGGAAGTAATTCCCATTTTTCTGAGGAACTGCCATATTCATTTTCATAGTGGCTGTACAAGTTTGCACTCCCATCAGAAATGGAAGAATGTCCCCCGTGCTCCACATCTTTGTCAGCATGAGCTGTCACTTGTGGTTTTGATCCTAGCCATTCTGACTGATGTAAGATAGAATATCATAATCCTTTTGATTTACATTTTCCTGGTGGCTAAGAATGTTGTACATTTCTTTAAGCATTTCTTGGCCTTTGAGATTCCTTTGTTGCGAATTCTCTGTTTAGATCTATATTCCATTTTTAACTGGATTATTTGGTTTGTTGGTGTCTAGTTTCTTAAATTCTTTATATATTTTGGAGATTAGCCCTCTGTCAGATGTGGGATTGGTGAAGATCTTTTCCCATTCTATAGGCTGCCATTTTGTCTTATTGACAGTATCCTTTATCTTATCAAACCTTTTCAGTTTCATGAGGTCCCATTTATTGTTGATCCTAGTGCCTGTGCTATTGGTGTTTTATTTAGGAAGTGGTATCCCACGCCAATTCATTCAAGGTTACTCTCCCCTTTCTCTTCTATCAGCTTCAGTGTATCTGGTTTTTTGTTGAGGGCTTTAATTCACTTGGACTTGAGTTTTGTGCAGGGTGATAGATATGGATCTATTTAGATTCTTCTACATGTTGACATCCAGTTTGACCAGCACCATTTGTTAAAGATGTTGCCTTTTTTTCCAGTGTGCATTTCTGGTTTCTTTGTAAAAGATCAGGTGTCCATACGTGTTTAGAATTATGCCTGGGTCTTCAGGTAGATTTCAAACATCAACATGATAGGTTTTATGACAATAGCATGCTGTTTTTATTACTATAGCTTTATAGTATAATTTGAGGTAAGGGATGGTGCTATCTTCAGCAGTTCATTCATTATTCACAATTATTTTAGCTACCTTGGGGATCTTGTATTTCCTTATGAAGCTGAAAACTGTCCCTTCAATTTCTGTGATGAATTGTGTCAGAATTTTGATGGGGATTGTATTAAATTTGTAGATTGCGTTTGGTAGCATGGTAATTTTTAGTATACTAATCATATCAATCTAAAAGCATAGGAGATCTTTCCATCTTCTGATATCTTCCTCAATTTCTTTCTTCAATGTCTCAAAGTTTTTATGATCCAAATCTTTCACTTGCTTGGTTACGGCAGCCCCAAGCTATTTTTGAGCCTATTTTAAAGGGTGTTGTTTGCATTTCTTTCTCAGCCTGTTGCTTGACTCTATGAAGGCTACTGGTTTTTATGAGTTCATTTCTTATCCTGCTACTTTGCTGAAAGTGTTTGCCAGCTGTAGGAGTTTCCTGGTGGAGATTTTAGGGTCATTTTCATACACAATCATATCACCTGTAAATTAAAATACTTTGACTTCTTTCCTTCCTATTTGTCTACCTGAACACACAGACATAATTCCAAATCACTTGATCTCCTCCAGTTGTCTTATTGCTTTAGCTAAGAGGTCAATTACTATACTGAATAG